TAAAGGCATAAAAATAGGAAAAGAAGAACTTAAATTATCACTATTTGCAGATGATATGATTCTATACCTAGCAGACCCAAAAGGCTCTACAAAGAAACTATTAGAGCTAATAAATGAATTCAGCAAAGTGGCAGGATATAAAATCAACACGCATAAATCAAAGGCATTCCTGTATATCAGCGACAAATCCTCTGAAATGGAAATGAGGACAACCACTCCATTCACAATATCTTCAAAAAAAATAAAATACTTAGGAATCAACCTAACAAAAGAGGTGAAAGACTTATACAATGAAAACTACAGAACCCTAAAGAGAGAAATAGAAGAAGATCTTAGAAGATGGAAAAATATACCCTGTTCATGGATAGGCAGAACTAACATCATCAAAATGGCGATATTACCAAAAGTTCTCTATAGGTTTAATGCAATGCCAATCAAAATCCCAACGGCATTTCTTGTAGAAATAGAGAAAGCAATCATGAAATTCATATGGAAAAATAAAAGACCCAGAATAGCAAAAACAATGCTAAGCAGGAAGTGTGAATCAGGCGGTATAGCGATACCAGACTTCAAACTATATTACAGAGCAATAGTAACAAAAACAGCATGGTACTGGTACCAAAACAGGCGGGTGGACCAATGGTACAGAATAGAGGACACAGAAACCAATCCACAAAACTACAACTATCTTATATTTGATAAAGGGTCTAAAAGCATGCAATGGAGGAAGGATAGCATCTTCAACAAATGGTGCTGGGAAAACTGGAAATCCATATGCAACAAAATGAAACTGAATCCCTTTCTCTCGCCATGCACAAAAGTTAATTCAAAATGGATCAAGGAGCTTGATATCAAATCAGAGACGCGCCGTCTGATAGAAGAAAAAGTTGGCTACGATCTACAGTCGGTGGGGTCGGGCTCCAAATTCCTCAATAGGACACCCATAGCACAAAAGTTAATAACTAGAATCAACAAATGGGACTTACTCAAACTAAAAAGTTTTTTCTCAGCAAAAGATACAATAAGAGAGGTAAATAGAGAGCCTACAACCTGGGAACAAATCTTTACTCCTCACACTTCAGATAGAGCCCTAATATCCAGAGTATACAAAGAGCTCAAAAAATTAGACAATAAGAGAACAAACAACCCAATCAACAAATGGGCCAAGGACCTGAACAGACACTTCTCAGAGGAGGACATACAATCAATCAACAAGTACATGAAAAAATGCTCACCATCTCTAGCAGTCAGAGAAATGCAAATCAAAACCACCCTAAGATACCATCTCACTCCAGTTAGATTGGCAGCCATTATGAAGTCAAACAACAACAAGTGCTGGCGAGGATGTGGGGAAAAGGGTACACTTGTACATTGCTGGTGGGACTGCAAATTGGTGCAGCCAATTTGGAAAGCAGTATGGAGATTTCTTGGAAAGCTGGGAATGGAGCCACCATTTGACCCAGCTATTCCCCTTCTCGGTCTATTCCCTAAAGACCTAAAAAGAGCATGCTACAGGGACACTGCTACATCGATGTTCATAGCAGCACAATTCACAATAGCTAGACTGTGGAACCAACTTAGATGCCCTTCAATGGATGAATGGATAAAAAAAATGTGGCATTTATACACAATGGAGTATTACTCTGCATTAAAAAATGACAAAATCATAGAATTTACAGGGAAATGGATGGCATTAGAGCAGATTATGCTAAGTGAAGCTAGCCAATCCCTAAAAAACAAATGTCAAATGTCTTCTTTGATATAAGGAGAGTAGCTAAGAACAGAGTAGGGTCGAAGAGCATGAGAAGAAGATTAACATTAAACAGGGATGAGAGGTGGGAGGGAAAGGGAGAGAGAAGGGAAAATGCATGGAAATGGAAGGAGACCCTCAGAGGTATACAAAAGTACATACAAGAGGAAGTGATGGGAAGGGGAAAAATAATACAAGGGGGACAAACGAATGTCAGTAAAGGGGGCAGAGAGAGAAGAGGGGAGGGGAGGGGAGGGGAGGGGAGGTGAGGGGAGGGGGGATAGTAGAGGATAGGAAAGACAGCAGAATACAACAGACACTAGTATGGCAATATGTAAATCAATGGATGTATAACTGATGTGATTCTGCAATCTGTATATGGGGTAAAAATGGGAGCTCATAACCCACTTGAATCAAATTGTGAAATATGATATATCAAGAACTATGTAATGTTTTGAACAGCCAACAATAAGATTGTGTTCAGAACCGAGGTGTTCAGAAGAACGTAGTTAATGCTGATGGAAGAATCCCAGGCACAGCGAGAGGACCCTCCCCAATAAGGAATAAGGACCAGTCGTGCCTCTGGGTCCTGGAACGGGGCATCCAGAAGGAAGGTGCAGGCCCTCGTTCTGAGAGGTCAGCCTGGAGCCCGTGTCCCTGCGTAGCACTTGGGGCAGGCAGGATGTGCACCGTGGACAGGACAAGCCAGGAGTGGCCCCTTCTCTCTCTAGGGACAGTGCTACTGAGCTCTGACTCTCCATGTCAGAGTATGTGAGGTCACTGTGTCTAAACCCGAGAATGAGGAAGCCGACGTAGGCTCACACACGCATCCCAGGAAAGACCTAGCGCTCAGACCCTCCCCTGGGGACACACCAGTCAGGAGGGTCAACACCACGCGAGGTACTAAAACAGCCATTGGGCACAAGGACTGGATCCACAGGTGATGGAAGAGACCAAGAAAGTCAGGGGGGCTCGGCAAGGTGGCCTCTGCCACTCCTAGAGGGACGTGCTGGTGCCCCCAGGCCCTGGGTCACTCAGCAGAAGATGAAGCTGTGGTGGGTCTATTGGGGGGGGGGAGCCGGAGCCACTGAGGGACAGCAAAGGGACCTGGGATGTCACCTGAGCACGGACAGGAGGGAAATGTCCCATCTTCCTCCTTTTGCCCTCCGGGATCCCACCAGGACTTCCAAGTGATGGAGTCCAGGTGGACGCCAGCCAGCACAGGGGCCTGGGAGAGAGCGTCCAGGTGTCCATCTCCCTGAGCCGGAGCCGAGCTGAGGGAGGACGAGGGCCGGCCTGGTTCATATCGACCTCGGCTACTATCACTGCCCCAGATTACGTCATGACAGATCTGTGTGGCGGAGAACACTGTGGAGGCCCGGGGGGCAGAACGCACAGCTGAGGGAGGCCGGCAGGAGTTGGCAAAGCGTGTCCCCCTCTGCACGGTTCCTCCCCGCCCCGCGCTCTCCCACGGAGCCTGAAACACTAGACGCAGAGTGGTTGACGGTCTTAATTACAGCATGTCCTTTATGGCCATCCTCCTCCCCAGGTCCCGAGGGCCCAAGAAGCCTGGTGGTTCTTCATGTCATTGGTTGTGGCTGGAGTCCCTGGGGAGCCGTGATGGATTGGTTTTGTGGCCTCGGCTACGGATTCCTCTCTGTAAATAAAGGTCTGGGATAATTGCATATGGCAGAGCTGGATGTGGGGTTGGGGTTACCTCCAGCCAATCTTATTACCAACCGCTCCCCAGCACGCGTCCTCTCTCCCGCACGGGCTCATCTTCCTGGCTCTTCCTTCTAAACCCACCACGCTCCTGTGTAGCCCACTCCCTCAGCTAGGGAGACCCCCCCCCCCCCCCCCGCCTTTTCTCTATGGGAGTCTTATTCTTCAAGGCTCAGTCAAGGTCTCCTTCCTCCACGGAACCTTCTCCAGTGACCTCCCTGACAGATTCCAGCAGCACTCCCTGCTACACAGTCACCCTCACCATTAACAAGGTATCACTACTCAGTGACTGACGCATAAAAGGACTAGTCCCCGACACCGAGGAGTGCAAGTGGTACAGGCCACAGCCCCTTCCTCTCATGCATTTATAATCCATTTGATAAAACGACTCATTCATTCATCCGGGAGCACCGATTGAAGGCACAGGCACAGCCCGAGGTGCTAATGATCAATATCCACAAATGTGCATGTACAGATGTCAAAAAATCCAGCGATAGCACGAAGAGAAGTGCTGGCAACGAGTTAGATTGTTATCCAAGAGCATAATACAGTTATTTAAAAAAGAAGAGGACCGAGTCAGAACCCAGCCCTACGACCACTCAGAACTTTGTGGCCACGGGGGGCTGCCCACACTGGGGTAGGCTGTGTCTCCTCTGTGGGCCTGGCCTGGCTGTGCCATCTGCTTCTGGGCCCCCATCAGCCCGAGTGATTTGTCATTTAGTCAGAGAGGGCCCTTTTGAAAGTCTTCCTCCAAGAAGAGGTGTTCTTTTCAGCTTCTCAAGAGACCACCAGAGCTAGCCAAGGCCTCCTCTTCACTTGCTGAGCCTCGGGTTCCTCACTGCTGTGCTTTGGACGTGAGGTGTCCCCCGTAGCTCGTGTGTGAGACGATGCAAGAAGGTTTACAGGTGAGATGACTGGGGTGGGAGAACCTTAGCCCAATCAGCGCATTTATCCCCTGATATGGATTAACTGAGCGGTGACGTAGGCAGGTGGGGGTGGCTGAAGGAGGTGGGTCACTGCGGCTGTGCCTTTGGGGTATATATTTTGTTCTTGTTGAGCAGAGCTCTCTCTGCTTCCTGGTGCCCTGTCCTGAGTTGCTGTCCTCCTCCACGCCCTTCCGCCATGATGTTCTGTCTCAGCCAAACGATGACCCAGAGCAAGACGGTCAGCCTCCTATGGACTGAGACCTCGGAAACCATGAGCCCCAATAAACTTTTCCTCTTTCAAAGATCTCAGGGTCTGTTGGTTACAGAAGTGAAAAAGCTGACCAGAATACTTAAAGTCATGCCTACTTTGGAAGCTTTTTAGGAAGATTGCATGAGACAATATAAAAGACCGAGCATGTATCTTTCGTGGTGAGGAAAAAACACACCTGAAAATGAGAAGAAAAACACCAACAGATCTCGGTGTGTGTTGTTGGGGAGGACCCAAAGGAAGATTCAGGAAAGTTATGCAACCAACTTCCCGGGGTGCCGGAAGAGGGTGGCATGAGTCAGCTTTGCTGGAAACCAAAACCACCCCAGGTCTTTCCAGCAGAGAGTTGGATACAGGGATCAGAAGATGACCCAGTGAGCGGAAGGGCTGGGGAACAGGAGTCGGGGTGCAACTTGGCTCCAGGTTCCAGGCATTGCCAAGGATGTGGTCTAGGAAGCCTGCTGCCCCCACAACTGCTCCTCATGCCCACGACTGTGGGGCCCAGACTCAGAGCATTCAACACAGAGGTAAGCACCAAGCACCTTAACCGTGGGGGGCCGTGAAGATGGGGTGCTGGTGGCATTAGGCTCCTCTCGTGGGGTCACAGGGATCCTCGAGCCCACCCACTGCAAGGTGCGCAGGGTGGTCAGCAGGGGGCGCCTCCAGCTGCTGGAAGATTGGCACGCTGCCCTCCCCTTCTTATTTGAGCTCGCCCAGGGTCCCTCAATGCCTTGGAGGTCACCCCAAGGCCCTCAGAGGCACCACAGGCAGAGCCAGTGAATGGTGACAGGGACAGAGGAATGGGACTGTCCGTCCTGGCTGGCGGGTGGGACAGGAGTCCCCAGCACTGGGCCAGGTAGAGATCTCGGGCTGGAGAGGCAGAGGGACCTGGTGAAGCCCGCGCGTCAGTGGGTTCCACCTCATTGACCTGAAGCAACTGATTTGGAAACTCCTCCGAGTTCCGTGAGCCCGCTGTGAAGTGGGGGTTCCGGTGACAGTAGCAGCCACTGGGTGGTGGTGAGAAGTCCTGTCTGGGCAAGCCTGGCGGGGACGCATCTACCTATGAGCCGGAGCGCCTGGCACACACCACGGCTCTCTGTGTGGCAACGGAGGGGAGCGTTCTTGGAGACTGCCCAGCCCTGCCGCGGGGCCATAGAGGGTGCACAGCACTTACCAAGCCCCACACGAACCCCGAACAGGCCCAGCTCCCCACAGGCACGAGAGGCCGAGCAGCAGCCGGGGAGAGATGGAGCGATCAGAAGCCCCAGCCCCCTCTTTCCCGTCGGCAGTTAGGACCAACCTCTCGGGAGCATTTCTCGGATGGTGTGGCCGCTAAATCACCAGCGCTGCAGTAATTGAAACAGAAAATCACGGTGGACAGAGCAAGTCTCACAGCACCATTAGCGACTGTGGTTTTTCATGGCAAGCCAGGGAGCTAATAAGCCTCTTTATGTGTGCACGGCACCGTCAGGAATATATCTTCACCGATATTTCAGAAGGGACCGGACCCTTCCCACGCCTGCCTTCCGCCAGGTGATATGTGGGCCTGCTGCTCCCGGGCGCCAACGAGGGATCAAGTTTCCCTGGCACCTGACGCTGCTCAGCTCGGTGACTCATGGGAGCCTTTCCCCCCCCCCCCCCCCCCCTCCCTTCCTTCCTCCTCCCCTCTTTCCTCTCTCTGCCAACACGGAGCTTGCATTTGCACAGGGGAAACAAACGGTACAAATAATCACACAGACCTATAAGCAAAACTGCAGTGACCGCTCCACAGAGGTAAAGGGAGCTCTCCAGGGCACCGGGTATCTTCGGAATAGAAAAAAAGATGGCATCCCGAGAGGCAGTGAGCACATCTAGGAGTCAGAGGAGTGTCCTGGAGACCAACAGTAGGTGCAAAGGCCCTGAGCACAAGCAACGAACCCAGAGAACCCCGGGCCGTCTCTTCTCCTGGTGTTCACGGGGAGCCAGGCTGGAGGAGTGGGGGGGGGGTGGCGTGTGACGGGCACAACGTCCAAGCCATGGGAGGCCCCCCTGTGCACTTCTGCTAGAGGGATCGGAAAGCCTGGGTCTGCTCTCGTTGCTCCTTATCCCAAATTTTCAGTTGCCCTCGAGTTCCTCACCGGGGTAGCTGTCAAGGAGGAGCCACTGTGGAAATGTAGGGGATGCTTTTGGTTTCCACGGTGACGAGAAGTGCTGCTAGCGTTTGACGGCATAGGGCTGGGGTCCCAGGGTATCAGACACCCTGTCACCTGAGGGACTGGCCCACATGATGAACTCTCCCGCACCTCACATGGGATCATTAGATTTCGTGTAGGCAAAATTCTGAGTTTTCTGAGCTGTCTCGGGGCAGTGCTGGGGATCCAACCCAGGGCTTGCGTGCGCGGTAGGCAAGCACTCTGTGGCTGAGCTGCTGTGTTTCTAATATATGTCTGTCAATCTGTTGACGCGCCCTTCAAAGAAAGCACGGAGCCTCATTCCCTTCTCTGGAGTGTGGCCCAGACTCAGGGACCCTCTCCGAAGAGTGGTGCTGGCTCAATTTGGGGTTGAGCGAGGAGGACGGTTGTTCTGTCTGTCCCCCCCGTCTCTTGGATGGCTAGCTCTGGGGCAAGGCAGCAGCCATGTTGAGAGCACGCTCAAGCAGCCCTGTGGAGGAGTCTCCACAGAGAAGAACTGGGGCCTCCAGCCAACAGCCGGCACCCACTTCCCAGTTGTGTGGGTGCCACAGAGTTTGGATCTTCAAAGTTCCCCACAGGCCAATGTGTGGAAGGCTTGGTCACCAGCCTGTGGCACGGTTGGGAAGCTGAGCCTAGTGAAAGGAAGCTGGTCAATATCATGCCCTTGGAGGGACATTGGGACCCTAGTTCCTTCTTCTCTTTCATTTCCCCACCACCAGGATGAGCTGCCTCACCCCAGCCCCAAAGCAACCAGCTAATCCGAGGGACGGAATTCTCTGAAACCAGGAGTCAAATAACCTTTCTTCCTTTCAGCTGATTTTCTCCGGCGTTATGTCACAGCAATGAAAAGCTGACCAAGGCAGGAAGTGGATCGTGAAGCCCCTGCCTCACTTCAGGTGCTCTGGACCTCAGCCTTTGGACATTCCATCAGGGACCCCATGAGGCACGGAGCAGAGACAAGCTGTCTCTCTGTGCCCTGTCGGAATTCCCCACCTACATACAAGTACAGCATTTTTTTTTTCCTGCAGTTTTAATAGGTATCCAAGTTTCTAGAAATGCAACCACTATGTAAATCAAGGGATTAATGTACTTTTTCTCTATAGGAAAGCTGTTCTCCACTTGAAAAGTAAAATTGTCAGTAGCCAGGCTTCTCAGGGGACCTTGGACACCCAAACAACACACCGATAACAGTCTAGATGTGACCTGCGGCCTCCAGGGCCATCCCATACACATGTGCAGATTTGGCTGGAGGTTATCTGATATTTCTTATCTCTCAGTTTTTCCCCCTCTGAGTTGCAAGCACTTGGCTATTTGATCATGTCTCCTAAGGAGCCCAGGCCTATGCACATGATGTTACCAAGAGCGTTTCTCTGATTTCTCCTTTGTACTAGAGTTGGGCCATCATGCTTTTTAAAACATTATATGAGTAGGTGAGTTATAATTTTAAGATAAATTTCGTTTCAGGGTGGTAAAGGGCATGAGGGCATATCTGTTAAGAAAAGCAAGGTAGAACTTTAGGACCATGGCTGGGAACATTTTCTTTAGCTGGGCACACTGGCGCACACCTGTCATCCCAGCTGCTCAGGACGCTGAGGCAGGAGGATCGCGAGTTCAAAGCCAGCCTCAGCAATGGCGAGGCGCCAAGCAGCTCAGTGAGACCCTGTCTCTGAATAAAATACAAAATAGGGCTGGGGATGGGGGCTCAGTGCTAAATGTCCCTGATTTCAATCCCTGGTACCCTCACCCCCACCAAAAAAAAAAAAAAACAAAACAGATTATGCCTGGGGACGTTAAGATCAGTTGTTCCCTTAACCTTGAACCCTCCGTGACCTTGCAGTTCCATTCTGTGTCCATCTGAGCCCTCCTCTCCAGTGGGACACGTCTTCTCGCTGGGCATCAGGCCCTGCGTGTTTCTTGACCCTGGTCTCTCTCTCTCTTCCCTTTTTGTCTTGCCAACCCCCCTCCTCCCTGCCTTGGATATTCACTCAGCAAGACACAGCTGAGCTCATCCACTAGCCAGAGCCTGTGCAGCCCCCAGGGCTCCAGCACTGAGGGACACAGAGGCCACATGGTGTCCCCAGAGCCTGCAGGCTGTCCAGGAAGCTGGCCTTGCGCAATTCAGCAAGGGTGATAAGGAGAAGCCCTCTACACCGTGGAGAACTGGCACTCAGGGGACGTGCGCAGGTGACAAACCTGTTTTGAGTTCTCTGTGCTTTAGTGGCTTAAAAATACGGCTGCCGAGAGCAGAGTGCCAACCACCCCCCCCCAACCTGGAGAGAGTGGCGGGTGGGCGGATGCCACCCTGTGCCCCAAGCCTTTCCTCCCTCCAGCCAGAATCACGCCTTCACTTAAAAGAGCTCTGTGGGCACGTGCCCGCTCCCTGAGGGCCGTGACGCCCCTGCCCACTCCAGGGCCATGGCGCTCAGGGCTCAGTGGTGCTCGGTCCCCTCTTGTCCATCAGGCTTTGAAAACACACACACACACACACACACACACACACACACACCCTGCCGTAGGAAACGCCTCTCTCCCACGTGCCCCACAGTGCGCTCCTGGAAGCCGCCTGGGGATCCACGGCGGAGCTTGGCTATGTGAGCAGATGGGTTTTCTAGAAGGTTCCACCTCCCCCACAGCAGTTCCTTCCAGAGCTGCCTGGAATGTGCAGGAGCCAGAGGATGGCGGCCTCTGGCCACTGGAGGGCACTCTGGAACCCCGAGAGCAGGAGGGAGCCCGTTTGTGGGGCCTTTTTACCGGAAACACAGCCCCAGTCAGACGCGGGCAGAGGACCTGGAAATACTCTCGCAGAGAGGACGCGGGGACAAGCGGGTTTTCTAATGAGGGCTTGAAGGAAGGCAGGGCAGGGGGCAGGAGCGGCCAGGCAAACCAAAGGCTGTGGGTTTCCTGCGGGTGGGACACTGCTCCAGAGTCTGGATTTTGCTTCCCCTTGCTCCAAAGGAAAAGGGGCTCCATTCGCCCAGTGTCCTCAACTGGGGCGACCTGCGCCCCCAAGAGACGTTTTCAACATCTGGAAACGTATCCGATGGCCACATCTCAGGGGTGGGAGTACGAGACGGCTTCCCCAAGCCTTTCCCAGCCCTCAGCAAGGAATTACCTGGTCCAGATGCCGATGAGGAGAGGACCCAGTCAGCCCCGGGTGGAGTCAGGGAGGCTGGCCTCCGGTTCCTTCTGCGGCTCCTGGGGTGTCCTGAGCTGAGCTGTTCCCCAGGAGGGGTCTGCATGGGCAGATGCGGCCTGGTTTCCAGGGGGGAGAAACGTAGGTTTGGGATTGTCCCTGTGACCCTGCTCCATCCTGCTGCCCTCCACCCCAGCAGCAGCCTGAGTGTTGTAACCCAGCCGTCCATTTGATAAGGAACCCAGGAAGCTCTCTCCGGGGGAGTGAGGCAGGGAAGGAAGGAGGTCCGTGCACGTCTGCTCTCAGGTAAGGAACCAGGTGTGCACCCGGGGGACCCCATGGGGAGTCCCTGGATGGAGTGCTGAGCGTGCCCCTGTCCTCAGTCCCTGACCGAGGGTCCCAGCCACTGAGGCCCTCAGGTGTAGGCGCCAAGCCCTGGCCAGGTTGCCCTGCTGAGGCCCGAGGGGAGGCAGGCAGGACACAGGTGGCCCCTGCTCCGTCCCCTTCCCCCTGAGGAGGGCCAGGAGCCCCCTGCCTGCCCATGCGTGCTCTGTTTGATCACTACAGGTCCCCTCAGGCTATGTCGGGATGCCACCTGCTCCCTTAATGCAGAGAACCTGCTGTGAGCCAGGGCCTGATCCGAATTCCAGAGTCTGGTCTCTCAGATGGCACCCTGTGGCCCTGGTGGGCAGCGAGCCCAACCCTGTCATGAGGACACCCGAGGAGGATTCGCCCCCAGGCTGGTAAAATGGCAGCTGCAGGGCTCCTGGGCTGCAGAGCCAAAGCAAGGCGCTAGGTCAGCGCCATAAACCTATGGGAGAGTCACCGGATTTCATGGGCCCACAGATCAGCCCCCAGGACCTTCCTCCAGGAGGGCTGCCACTCAGTGGGCCTGGGCAGGGCTCGGGATTCTGCATCTCTCCAGCGGGGTGCTCCAGGCTGCTCCCCTGAACCAGGAGGGGGGCCCGTGGCAGCCAGCACACCTGTAGAACCCTCCTGGGAAAATGCCCAAGGACACCTCGGAGAGAGGCCGTCCAGGTCCCCCAGGCCTGCTAAGAGGCCCCCTGTGACCACTTCTTTTGTCCTACACCAACTTCCATACCTGATGCCTTTTCTTCAAGCACCACCCCCTACTGATGCCTAAGCGCTCAAGGCTCATGCACTTGAGTCTTCCCCACCTGGGAGCAGGCGAGAGGCCAGACTCTTGCCCCTAGGAGCCTGGACTGGGCAGTTTCATTCGTATTTCAGGGTGCTGGAACTTGACTCCTGCTTCCTGATCCCTGACTTTAGGCAGAAGATGCAGGGTGGCCGCGGAGGTGACATGGCAGCCGTGTGCAGCCCAGAACTCCAGCCAATGAGTCATGTGGAAAAGGGTGTTCGTGGCCCAGGCCACCGTCACCCACTCGGACAGCGTTTGTTGAGCATCGACTACGTGTGGCGCACCCTTGTAGGCTGGGGGAGCTCAGCCGCGCGAGCGAGAGATTCCCAAGTGAAGCAGAGTGGTCAGCCGAGGTCACACCGCAGGGACACTCACCGAGGAAGAAAGCTCTAACACAGAGTTTCGATCTCCCTTAATTGCAGTCCGGTCTTCATCTTTGCATCCTTTATTTTTTTCTTTAGCACCTTGAAGAATGGAGTAGGAAGAAATGTCCCCTCCTTAAAAGGACTGAAGACTTAATTAAAGCTCCGGCTGCCCAGGAGAGAGGAGGAAGTGGGTTTTCAGTCCTAGTGAATTAGCCACCAAAGGTTTGTCACCAGGAGACTCCAGGAGAGAAGGCTCAGAGCAGGAGGGCGGGGGGATTCCTGCTAGAAATGAAGGACGTCCACCCAGGGGCAGGGGCGTCTGGGGCAGGCCCAGGAGGAGGAGCCTGGGAGAGGGGACTTCTGCTGCCACCCCCTGCCTTCTCCCCTCCCCCCCCGGGGTGGCCAAGCCTGAGAAGCACAGGGAGCAGGGGACAAGCTCCAGACTCCCGAGTGGCCATCAAGAGTGACCAGGAGAGACTTTGAAGTAGCCGATGTCCCTTCAGAGAATCCAAGGGCGCTCTGGGGAGGGTTACCCAACTCTGCCTCTCTCAGTGGTCTTCAGAAGCCATTTGAAAACAGATAACGGCGCAGGTGAGTCCCGTCCCACGGCGGGGTCCCTGGAAGATGGCCGCGTTCGTTCCATGAGTGAAGGAAGAATGATTCCCCCTATGAGGTCGGAGCTCCCGGTTGGGACAGAGATGAGCTAGAGGGACACAGACACACAGCCCTCGGGCACAGGTGGCAGGTCCCAGGGAAAGGAGCCACTCCCAAGGAGGTGGGGCTGACTGCGATCCCAGGGTCACGGGGCCACCGGGGCGCGTTTTCAGAGTGACGGGACAAAGGCAAAGCACTTTGGGCCTCGTGGGACGGGGAACGGAGGGAGGGCAAGTCAGTAGTTCGTAAGGGCTGGTCAGCGCGGTTGGTCAGTGGACGTCCAGAGCCCTCTTCATGCCAAGGGCCCAAGGTGGTCTTTGGTGGTGAACTCGGTCCTTCCTGGTGGGCAGTGGGTAAGGTCACCTTTGGAAACGGATGTCCGGCTCTGAGGCCAACACAGAAAGGCAGGGAGCCCTCCTGTGTCTGTGCCCGGGGAGAAGCCTTCAGCTCCAACCGTCCTCAGGCCGAGGTGGCCGCTCTGGGGTGGCTCATCCGGGCCTCCTGCGCGTCTGTCGGGGAAGCCACCCGGGCGCTTCTCCCTGTCCCCGGGCCCGGCACTCCCCGAGACAAACCATCTGATTTTGCATCGCTCGTGGGTGAAGTCCCGGACCTGTGGTCATCTGTACGGGACTTGTTCTCACTTTCCAGAGGCGTCCTCCCCCACCGCAGCCCGCGGCCTGCACCCCACGCCCTTCCCTGACTGTCCCCCCTCTCCTCCAGGGGTTCTGAGACTTGGAGGGGGAAGAATGGCCCCGACCTCCCCTCCGGGAGCTGATGGCAGAACTCCTAGGGTGGACTTCACTAAGGCCAGGGCCTGGGACCCGGTGCTTGTCTGTGTCCTAGAGACAGGGTCGTCCAGGGTCAAGGGCTCGGGCCTCAGAGCCCCAAACCTGCTTCAGATCCAAGTGTTCCCTTCTGTGTTGTGACACGCCGGGCACTTTGGTGAGTTGTCACCCCCTGTGATCTAGCAATGTTAATAGAAGCTGCGCCAATGCGAGGTGAGGACTCGGTCAACAAACGCCCGTAAGATGCTCGGCCCCGGGGCTGGAACGGGGCACATGACAGATGCGGTTCTGTTGTCACCGTGCCTGTATTGTCCACAGTCTCCTCCGGCACTCCCCCCGGGGCTGCCTGGCCGCTGGTTTGGGCTGGGATCCCCCAATTCCTCCCGGTCTCCCCCTCTACAGGTGCTCTGGGCTGGCAGCCTCCTGCAAGGGTCGTGGCTACTCCTGAGCAGCCCACGTCGCCTCCATGTCCCCAGAACCGCCCTCCCCTTTCCAGGCCCATCCAGCGTCAGGGTGGTGAGGTCACCTGTTTCTGCCCTGGCTCCTGCGTATCCACCGTGCGCCTACACCCCACCCAGCCCTCTGTAGAGAGCGTCACCTGTCCCCACAACGCGGTCACTCTCGTGGCTACTCTTCACTCCCTCGTGTCCCTCTCTGCCCTGGCGTGGTGAGCAGAGTTCCCCCTGAGCCTGCTGGACCGCGGGCAGCTGGAGTCCTCTCTCCAGCTGCCTCTGAGATGTCACCCCTCGGCAGCCCTCACTCCACTGTCCACCCAAGAGGCTGCCTTCCTTTTGGTGACTGACCCCAAACATAGAGCACGGGGGACAGAAGAGTTGGCGGGACGAGGGGCCCACCCCAGCCCAGTCTGCAGAAACAGACCTTAATAAAGCAATCGTGACTACTTCCTCACAACTGTCATCCCTGACCCCAAATCGATCTTTGCTAAAAGGGTACAAGAACGTCAAGCCAAAGGGCTTCTTGGAATTTCACTCCTCTCCGATGGACTCCGTTGCTTGTGATATCTAATTCACACCCGGGGCCTTTTCCATTGTCAGTCTTCTTAGTTTAATTCACACCCCCCTGTGACGGAACCTGAAAGCTTAAGGAAGAGTTTCCTGCACAGTGCCAGGTCCCTGCCGGCATCTCGGAGTCCAGGTGGGGGCCCGTGCAGCGAGGCATTTGGAGGAAGCTTCAACCCCGTACTTCAGAAATGAGCGCCCTGGATCCTGCAAGCCTGCCCCTGGTGAGCTTTATCGCCCATTTACCGTGTCGTCTGACTTCAGTCACGGTGCAATCCGTTCACTCTTGCTTCCGAATGTGCTCTGTCTAGTCTCCCGTAAGGAGCGTTCAGCAGCTCCCATAGAGTCCTGGTCATTTTCCGGTTTTAGACGTCCCCTCCCAGGGAGGGAGGCTGGCTGGCCTCGGCGGCCTCCTTTGCTGACAGAATACAGCAGAGGGAACGTCTGGGGACTTCCGATGCTGGATCCTAAACCCCTGCGGCTGCCATAGACCCTCCCGGAGCCCTGAGCTCTCGGGCAAGGAGCCATAGGAATCTGAGGCTCCCAGGGTGGGCCACGCTGGGACAGAGACTGCACAAGCTTCCAGCAACAGCACAGTAGATCCTGCCCTACTTCTTCTTCCAGCCAAGCCAGCGAGCAGCCCATTCCCCAGCTGTACACCACCGAGGACCCCATCTGTGCCACCCGGAGCTGAGGGACACTCTGCAGAGCCCTGACCTGCGAAATCACGATGCCCAATTCACAGCCGCTGCGCCCCGGTGCCTGGCTCTGGGTGACTCTGCACACCCTGAAGTTACCAGATACCCCCCACCCCCGCCCGCCTGCAGCCCTGTCCTTGGCTCCGGGGGCAGTTAGTGGAGAGTGACCCACCGCTGCCCTGGGGTCTCCTCGCCGGCTTCTCATCTCCGAATCTCAGCCCCTGCCCCTTCCAAGGTGACCCTTTGGGAGTTCCCCTCACGTGGCTTCAGTTGGGACGGGAGGGTGGGACCAAGGGGCTGGGGAGGGTCTGGGCTGGGGCTGGTGGCACACCAGGTCCCCTGCCCTTAATAAGCCCCTGGGGGACCTTGTCTGACTGGGACCTGGTGTCTCGTTGTCCTCCATGATGGACCCCGTTGCCAACTTGAAGGTTCAACACAGCGTTTCCCTCGAGGCCAGAAAGGCACCACCAAGGAATGCAGCAGGTGCTCACAAGCCGGCAGTGGCTTCTGAAGGTGCAGAATAGGTGTGCGTGGGGCGTCTGTGGCTGCTGGCTGGCTGCGGGCAGTGCTGGGCCTTCCTCTCCGCACCGGGGGCTCCTGGCCAGGACGCTGGCTGGCTGGGAGCACACAGCACCAGGCCTTCTGGAGGCAGGCAGGGGACAGATGGGAAGGGGCCGGGCCACCACGCCTCCTCTGTCCTCAGTGAATTCATCCTCTCCTCACAACAAACGGAGGGGCGGGAGGAGACCCGGGTCCTCCTGTCGTGAAACAAAGCCCAACAAGGAGGGCCAGGCGTCCCCAGCCCCAGAGCCAGGTCCCAGGGCACACGCATTACCGCAGGTACCTCCCGCTGCGCGTGCCCTGCCGGGCGGGAGGCTCTGCCCTGTTCCTCTGCAGCCTGGACACGGCCGCGTGTCCGTCCATTACCCTAGGATGTCGGTCAGGGTTTGGCTCATGCACCACTCAGGGGCGGGGGGCAGGCAAGAGAGAAAGAGGTCGGGGGTCTGTCCACTGCGGCTCTTTGCCAGCTCCTGAGGCTTGGCCCTGGCCCACGGGGAGGAGCAGGCCGACGGGTGCCCACTCCATGCAGCCGCCTTCTCTGGGTGCCGGGGATCACTGTCCCCTCCAATCCCCTCCCCGTGTATGGAGGAGAGAGCTCTGCTGGTGCCCGCCTGGGTCTGTCCCTTCCTGTTGCCTTACCCCCTCGGCTCTGTGAAGTCCTGGGCCACATGGCCACCAGGCCCTCCCTGAGTGAGCCATCTGTCCCCCGCAGCGCCCTGGCCCTGGTATCTTCCCCCTGGGGGCCAGGCCTGCTGGGGAAGCCCACTCGCCCCACCCCAGGCCCCTCGGTCAGTCCTTGGGATCTAACTTCGCCCCGAGGCCACGCTCCCCCACGGCGGTGGCCAGAACCCTGTGGTGGAAGTGACAGCCAACAGGTCTTTGGTTTCAGCTTGGCAGGAGGCCCTGAGTTGGACGCCGACACCAGGAAACATTCTTTCATGCAGGACACACGTCCACAGCAGGCACACAAGTGCGTCTTCCCCACGTCTGAAGAACCGAATGCACGGAGGGCGGGTGTGTTGGTCAGGATTCTCCAGAGAGAACTGATACGACGGAGAGGCGGAGGCTGGCCGGAGGCCCAGGGAGGCTGGAGGCCGCAGAACCGGGGGGCGCTGCTGTCTGGCCTGCCTTCCTCCTTTTCGTTCCAGCCAGGACCCCAGACAACGAGGGTGGGTGTCCCCTCAGTCTGCACGCTCCACGCCAACCTCCTCTGGCAATGTCCTCAAACGTCCAGGCACACCTGGGCAGCCCGGTCATTCGAGTCGAACCCAGACCACCGTGTTTCCCTGGCGGTGAGAGCAGGGTGGACTCGGGGCCTGCGGAAGCCCAGGGAGCAAACACCCTTCCCACCTCTAAGTGTCCTTGGATCCGGGCAAGTCCACACCCCCAGGCGGCTGTCCCCTGGGGCGGCGGTGGGAGCCTTGGGTTTGCGGTCAGACGGCTGGAGCCTGATTTCTAGTTTCTGAGGGGCCTGGACCACCACTTGGCCTCTGCCCACCCTGCTTCCTCTTCAGCACAGCGAGGGGACAGCCATTGAGGAGACCGCGAGATGTGGGTGCGTGATACAGGCTCAGGAGAGGAGCCGTCTTACCGTGGCAGACGCCAGGTGCCTGGGTTGCAGGGAGCTCAAGGTGCAGCCCCAGCCCTGCTGGCCCGGCCGAGAGCCCTGAGCCCCGCACCAGGAGCCGCCAGCTGCCCCCCGGGCTGCGCTGGAGCAGGACGCCCTGTTGGGTTACCTCCCACTGCATCCTAAGAGCCGGCTGACATTGTCCCTGTTGTCTCTGGTGGCCCTCCAAGTCCTCACCTGAGCCCAGCCCTGGTTGGGGGCGGCAGGGGTGGGGGGGACGGGAATCGAGAGAGTGACAGACGACGCATCTGCTCCTCGGGGGCCCTTTGTGTGTGCGTCTGAATGGGGACAGCCGTCTGATCATTAGAGTTCCAGGGCAGCGCCTGGCAAGATCCGGGCACCCAGCAGCCCTGTGCCAGCCTGGGACGGGCTCCGAGGCCGAGACTGACTGACGCGGGTGAGCACCTTTAATTACCCAGGCACCGCGTCGACGGCCCTGGGGTGTCTCATTGCTATGCTGACACTTGGGAACACCGCGTTTCCCCATTGAGACGCCAATTATCCCGGAGCACGTCTGCAAAAACCCATCAGCCGGAGCTCTGGACGGTCGAGGGGGGCGGTCGGAGGGGTGGAGGCAAGTCTGTGAGATCAAGGGCACCGGGAGGGTTCAGAGCACCGTCCCTGCTCTGCCGGCTGCTGCCAAAGCAGGAGCACACGCACCCTCACATGCATTCTCTCTCCCTCTCCCTCTCTCTCTCTCTCTCTCTCTCCTCCCTAGGCAGAAAGATCAGCATCTCTGGTCCAAGTAGCTGCCAGGAGAAGTTTCAGGAGCCAGGAATTAGGAAGAAAATCAACATAAGGAAAAGAGCCTTCCAGATGGAAATTGGCCTTATCTGGATCATGGAAAGCACATGCTGGAAATCAGCTGATGGGGCCCGTGTGACGGCCAGCAGCGGGGTCGGCTGCAGGAAGCCCCTGCCCACCGCGCTCCTCCATTGCACACGGGTTCCATCCCCAGGGTTCTCTGGAAGCCTCAACTGGGTGTGCCCTTCAGGGGGTCACCGGCCGTCCATGCAGCCGGGCTCTTGCTCCTGCCTGAACCTGTGGGTCCTCTCGGGACGGTGGGGAGGGAGGCGTTGGCTTGTTTTCCTTACTGAAATCTGACAAGAGAATGGCAGACGGGTCACGTGGCCCAGAACACAGCCCCCAGATCCAGATGCGGAGCCTCGGATTTCAGCTGGGCCACCTCTCAGCCCTGTGAACTTGGAGAAGCTGTTGAACCCTCTCTGCACCTAAGGTCCCTCGCCTATAAAACGGTGAGGATGACGGTACCCCCCTCCCATGGTCATGGTCAGGATTAAACCTGTCAGTGACTTCAAAAATACTTGGAGCCAGGAGCCGTGGGCTTGCCTGGAATCCCAGACGTTTGGGAGGCTGACGCAGGAGGATTGCAAGGTTGAGGCTAGCCTCAGCAACTGTGCCCTCTCTGGGCGATGATGGTCCCTGGCTGGCCAGGGATGTGGGTCCTCAGACATCAGATGGGCAAGTGGGTCCCCTGTGGCCTGCAAGTTCCTGGACATTCCTTTCACTGAAAGTCAGATTCCCCTTGGAGGTAGGTGCATCGCTTCTAGATGGAACGTGTCTCCCAAAGACATCTTCCCTCCTGACTTTGTTTGGAGACAGACTCTTGGTAGATACAATCGAGCTTTAGGGGACCACACTGGGTTAGGATGACCGTAGCCTGCTGACCCTTGCGGGGGGGGGAGATCTGCACACAGAGGGAGAAGGCCGGGGGAGACGGAGGCCAACACTGGATGGGTGTGTGTCCAGGCCAAAGGTCACCAAGAACTGCTGGTGGCCCAGACACTAGGAAGGAGCAAAGAGGGGGCTTCCCTATTTCTAATTTGGGTTAAAAGCATAAAATTGACCATCTTAGCCATTTTTAAGTGCACAGTCAGTGGTATCCAGCTTATTCACTATTGTTCAACCAATTTCTAGAACTTTTTCATCTTGCAACACCGGGACTCTGTTCCTAGTAAGACAGCTTCCCGTGTCCCTCCCTTCAGCCCTGGAGAACATCCTTCTCCCAGCTCCATGACAACATCTGCCCTCGGTGACCGGCTCATGCCATTTAGCAAAAGGGTTCAAAATCCTCCTGTCCAGAATTTCCCTTCTTTTTCAGGCTGAGTAATATTCCGGTGTGCCTATATCTGAATCCTGTATCTGGTTTGTCCTCTCATCTGTGGGTGGACCTGCCTCCACTACCGTGGATAATGCTACTGCAAACACCAGTGTCCAGCTACATCACCGTTGTCTTAAGCCACCAGCCCTTGCAGTAACTGTCAAACAGCAAGAGACCATTCCAATGACCGGATCAGGGTGTCGAGGGCCGGCCGAGCCTCTTTGCCTCTGGGTGGAGCAGCCTCTGCAGCACATGTGACTCCAGAGTCTCAAGGTCACCTCCAGGCCAGCCTTGCCCGGTACTCCTGCCAACACTCTTTCCAAGGTGCTGACCCAAGCCTGTGGACGCGCATGGCCAGGGTGGCGCGGGCAGGCCAGGTGGCTGCAGGGACGTGTCACAGCTTTGACAGGACAGGGCAGCGGTTCCTGGTCATGCAGACCCTTGGGCGAGTGTCCAGCCTGTGGGGATGTCCAGCAGCCATAGTACCAACAGGACGCTGCCCTGGGGTGCCTGATCACAGCTCTCCTGACCCGTGGGCACCTTGGAGGAAAAGCCGAAGTCTGGAAATGGCCTCCGGCCAGAGCAGGCGGGGCCAAAGCATCTCGATGGGAACTTCTCTTGGCAAAGTGGCTTTTCATCTAGTCTCTTCGTGGGTCCTGTGACCCTGTGGGGGCAGTCCCCCCGTCCTGCAGAGGAAGTCCAGGAAGGCGAAGGGAATCCATCGAACCATTGACACGCGGCGGAGCCTGGTGATTTGCAGCCTCCCTGGGGCTGCCCCTTGCTGGCCGGCCAGCTGCCCCCTGGACCTGCACACATCAGCCCGCGTCCGTCTTGCTGGGGCTGCACGCTGGCTTCTGGCTGCAGACTCCTCGTCCTGATGCAGGAGGCCCAGGCTCCCGGAGGCTGCTGGCCCCGGGGCTGGCTCAGGGAGCTGGGGACATGCTGACCTGTCAGCCGGCCAGGGCCTCCCGCGGTCACCTCTGTCCAAAACTCTGTGCCCCGCTCTTCCCACTGCTCCCTTGTCCCCTGCTCAGACACCGCCTCGGGGTCTCAAATCATGTCCACGCTACAGTCCTGGTCTCGAAAGTCTCACTGGACTCCCCGTGGGTGTGTTTGAACTCAGTGACCCACTTGTAGTGAACAGAGGACGTGAAGTGACAGCAGGTGACTTCCAGGACTGGGCCACCACAGGCACGGCAGTGTCCTCCCCGCCTCCTCTGGATCCCTTGCTGTGGGGGGCAGGAGCGCACTCAGCCCTGGGGACTGGCCCAGACGGTGAGGGACTGAGGACCCCGGCCCACACAGCCAGGGGACAGCCCCTCAAGCCACCACAGGAGACAGCGCACAGGTGTGTGGCTGTCCACCCGCAAGGCTGGACCAGCGCCTCTGTTTCCAGGTGGGGTGGGCCTCAGGGAGGCTCCAGGGAGTGGCGGGCAGGGGGAGCCACGCCATAGGCTTTGCAGCTGATTGGCCAGGTCACCCGGGTGACCGGAAGCAAGAGGAGAGTGGGCTGTGTGTTTAGATCCCCAGCAAAGGGCCCCAGCTTCCAGGGTGCCAGGGCCACCAAGAACACACCCAGGGTGCCGTCTGTCTGCTGCAGTGACAGCCTGGGTCCCGGTGTCAGCCTCGCTCGACTTATGACTGCCCCGGAGCCCCGGGAACAGCTCTCTGCTGCTGTCCTGCTGGTCCGTCCAACCCTGCCCGATGCCGTGGACCATCTTAGATGCGGATGCACCACCTGAGTCTGGCCTGTTGATGACCACAGTTCCGGCCAGTGGTCTTGACATGATCTGATGAGACGCTGACCGGGCCATCCAGTTGAGGCTCTCCCACATTCCCCGCCCACAGAAACTGCAGGTCAGTACCTGCTTATTACGTACTGACCCAAGCCTGTGGACATGCATGGCCAGGGTGGCATGGGCAGGCCCAGGTGGCCGCAGGGACGTATCAGCTGATCATAGCTTTGCCAGGACAGTCTCCCTGTGTTGCCCAGGCTGGTCTCCAACTCCCGGACTCAAGCGATCCTCCTGCCTCAGCCTCCCGTGTGCTGGGATCATAAGCGTACACTACCGCACCTGGTTATTTTATTTTATTTTTTGGTACCGGGTATCGAACTCGGGGGCACTCGACCACTGAGCCACATCCCCAGCCCTATTTTGTACTTTATTTAGAGACAGGGTCTCACTGAGTTGCTTAGCGCCTCACTGTTGCTGAGGCTGGCTTTGAACTCGCCATCCTCCTGCCTCAGCCTCCCAAGCTGCTGGGATGACAGGCGTGGGCCACCGTGCCTGGCTGCACTTGGTTATTTGAAGCCCAAGTTTGGCACTGATTTCTTACACGGGAATAGCCAGACCTCTGCGTGTTCTCTGGGGGCCTCCTGGACTGCACTCTGTCCTGCCTCCCTGGCCTCCTTGTCCCCGACGGGGTCAATGCTTTGGCAGGTCCAGCGTCCCACCCTTCCCCTTGGGACCACTCCCCACAGCTGCATTTTGTGGGCTTTACGCTCGTCCTGCTTTCCTGGCAGCACCTCGGCCTCCCGCGGGCAGCTCCGTCTAGTCCAGCTCGGCCGGTCACCCCGCTGGCCCAAGTCCACCTCTCGCTGCACAGATGCCCCTGGAAGTGGCCTAGGGTGAGCCGCTCGGGGGGCACAGCCAGCAAGCTGAAGCTGCTGACCTTCAATGTTAGCGAGGAGCCCCATGAACACCTCGGCGGGTCGAGGAGGGGACTCGCCCATCTCTGTGTCCCATGATCTCAAGTATCCAAGATGCAACGGAGCCAGAGCCGTCCCTCGGGCCCCCAGACAGAGCCGGCCGGTCCCCGAGGCTGGGAGCAAAGCCCGTCTAATTAACTTACCGCGAGCTCTTGGGCCATTACTCAGACCCTAATTACTTAATCGCCTTAGCAGATATTTATTAGTCACCTAACATCTGCGAAGCCCCGTGCTAGGAGCAGGGGGGCCGGGGCAGGAGCTGGGAGGGTGCACTGGGTGGTTGTCTCCACTGAGGAGTGGCTGCCCGGAGGGAGATCCTCAGAGGCCACCAACCACAGGGACAGGGGCCCGCCAGGCGGGTGGGGGCGGGGCGGCGCGCGGCCTGTCAAGGAGGCCAGGCTCAATTAGTCACAATTATAACACGCGCAACAAGCCTCATTATCTGGTTTCCGAGTCCATAATGGATTAGCAACAGCACGTTAGAGGGGGAAGGAGGGGCCACGCGGGCGGCAGGTACCTTCGCTGTGGCCCAGAGTGACAAGGGACGGGAACCAAGACCCGGGGTTTCTAAAACATCGAGAGTGGACGGAGTCAAGGGGAACATGACAGGGTAAGGTCATTTTGGGTGGGGGCGTCGGCTCCATAAAGACACAGAGGCTGAATGACACTGGGGGGGAGGCACGGATCCGTCCCTTGGGGTCACTCAGTTAAGTCACGTCACCCGGCCCTCCCTCAGCCTTCTCATCCACGAAACGGCACCTGTACCTCATAAGGATGTTGGGAGAACTCGGTGAGTCAATCATTAATTTATTTAGTCGACTGACTGAGTCAACATGGCGGTCGGAGGGCCTGCCTCAGTCAGGACTGGCTGGGTTTGCTGCAGTAACAAGCAGCCCTTCAAGTTCACGCAGACAACGAAGGCTCATCTTCCACTCAGACGCCTGTCCACCACGGATAGACAGAGGTTCTTGTAATCATCACCGTCCTCACCCCAGGGCCCAGGCCTATGGCTCTGCCACCCTCTTACGATGCCCTTTGTCCGTGAGCAGGGAGGAGAGTGCCTTGTGTGTCACTTGTGGGTAGTTACTTGTTCACCCCAGAAGTGGCGTGCTCTCTGACCCACACAGAGCTCTGGCCAGCGTTGGCCCACTGCCCCCTCTCTCTGTGCACTTGGAAGGGGTTATGGGGTGTTTGTCTCACAGCAGGGCCGGCTCTCGGGGGGCCTCTCTGCGCTAGGCCACCAGACAGAGTGTAGAGACCAGGGTGGCCCAAGGCTCAGCCATTCACTGGAACACCACAGGAGCCCACGTTCCGGGAGGATGCAGACGGGGACATTCCTTCTCAGGACGTTAAGCACCCCTGACTCAGCTCGCTAGAGGTCAGGAGCGTCCCTCCTCCAAGTCACTGTGACAGTGACACCCTAACCTATCTCTTGGCCCTCCTGGGTGGGGCAGGGCCTGCCCTCTTTGCCTCAGAACCACCAACAGATGTTGATTGTTTGGAGTCAGTGAGAGCCAGAGCTGGTACCTGGGCACCGCTTCCCTCCCCGATGGCGGCTGGGGACCCTGAGTCCCGTCCACTATAGTTAGTTTTCAAGAGAGGACAGGGCTGCGGCGTGGCCCAGGGCTGAGTGCTGGCCTAGCATGTGCAAGGCCCTGGGGCCCCTTCCAGCACCAAAGAAAGAGGTCAGCAGAGGCAGGGTCCCCAGGAGGACAAGTGGGACCCATGACCACTCGGCAGGCCTGCCCCTTAGGAAAGAAACCAGGCGACTTCCTGCCCGTGAGATGTCCTGAGTCTGCTCCCTGAGCCCCCCAGCATGCTAAACTAGGCTGAGTAGGTCTTTGTCACTTGTGACCAAATTCTTTCCGACGAGAGCACGTGGCCCCTAGAAACGCTGCTGGTAAGAATGAGCTCCGTGTCACGGGAGGATTTCCTGTGGGGACGCTTCCCACGGGGTCAATCCACAAACCTCTGCTGTGAGCTGCGCACAGTCAGCCCGCACGCACAGAGGGCAATGTGTGTTCTATAAGGAGGGCTTCCAGAGGGGCAGGGCTCGCGGCCTTGGTCCCTGAGCGAGCACACAAGACACCAGGTGACCACCTCCCCTGGTCACAACTTCCCCTCCTGGTCACCTGGATGCTGACCCTTTCAAGCTCCAGAGAAGAACTGACATGACCCATAAAACCGAGAAACAAGATGACATTAACCCTCACACCAGCGTTCAAACCGGATTTATGAGACCTTTGTAAACTTGAAGATCTCCCGCAAGCGTTACGGTAGTGTGGCGTGAGGAAGAGTCTCTTGCTGTGAGTGATCAGCCCTTACCCAAACGTCCCTCTCCCGTCCTGTGGCTGCTCCAATCTCTACATCTGGATTCACAGAGAGGACGCGGCAGGGCGTGCTCACCCCCAGCCCTTCCAACACCGCACGTGGGAGCACCTCGAGCTTCAGGGGGTGGGATGACCAGAATCAGAACAAAACTGCAACAAGCTCCTTGTGACTCTGTGTGCCAAGAACGTGCACTCAGTGAGCACCCAGTCAAACAGAAATAGTGTCTGGTTATCATGGCAACCAGGAGACCTGAACGGCGAGTACTTACTAGTGCGCTCTGAGAGGACTCCTTTCAAGCTGCCTGATCCCCTGAAATCCCAACCTGCTCTCACCTGCGTTGTGTAGGTGAGCAAACTGAGACCACAGTGACTGCTTCCTTGCCTGAACATGCAGCAGGTAAGGGTTGCTCCAGGTGCACTTCCCGTGAGCTGCCCAGCAATGTGGTCTGGTGTCCCTGAGTGTCACGGGTAAGACAACAGGTGGTAGAGCTCCACCCGGGTTCGGACTCAGGCTCCAGAAGTTACCAGCGAGACTCATTCCATCTTGAATGAGTTCATCTAACTCTGGGTGTCTGGTATCCCTTTCTGTAGAAACGGCTTTAAAGAGGTATTAGATAAGTTAAAGAGCTTACAAGGGGGTCCAGTGTGGGGTCCAGTGTGGGGTCCATGCTCTGAAATACCAGCCTTTAATTACCACCCACACTGAAGGGAAGGAGCCCAGCTGGCCCCAGGCCGCACCTCCTCCCCTGACCTTGAGCCTGGTGCACCGAGGTGCAGTTGGGGCCCACCCGTGGGTGGGGATCCGTACCCCTGTCCCTGCTCCATTACCAAGTCCGTGTGTGGCCCTGGGTCCTTGCAGAGGCCCCCAGAGGGAGAGAAATTCTTGCTCAGTCCTCAAGGAGCCTCCCGTCCACTGAGGGGCACCTCATGGGTCCACCCTGTCCTTCTGAGCTGACGTACGGGGCAGATGTCATCACGGACCTAGGAGCTTGCTGCTGGGTTATCTTCTCGCTTATTTTCCTGCAAACCCACTACGAAAAAGCCCCATTTCCCCACGTCAAGGGCCCCTACATCGTGCAGAGCCACAGCTCTTAGATGGGTTCTGAGCCAGACAGCTTCATATGGAAGTCGGAGTGACCATCAAGCGGCTGTCCATGCTGCATGAAGAGTTGCACCTGGACCTTGAAGAGGTGGCCTGCAGCCTCCCCCCAGGGCCTGGGCCTCTCTCCTCTGCTTTACCTTTGGCCTCCCAGGGTCCACTGGAGAAGCTGCCTCCTGATGACCGCGAGGCCTGCCCACTCGGGCACGGCTCCAACTTTGTCCCTGCTCCCTCTCCCTTCCCACATGCTGGCCCCAGCTGGCCCTGGGCCAGCCATGCCTGCCCCTCCCCTGTGCCTCGGGAGGCTGGGACGGTCCTAACACTGGCCGCTGCTGTATTTCACCGTGGAAATCAGCGGCTGCCACAATCCTGTTGTTTGCCATCGACGGGGGCCAGCTGTTAGACACCCGCCCATGACCACGTGCTCACTCTGCTGCCCGTTGCACCATGGACTCCCAGCCTCCCCTCCCGGGTCTGCTTTGGGGGGCCCACGTGGGGAGAGGTCCTTATAGCTCCTTGTTTGGTCAAAAGAGGAAAAACTCACGATCACACAGGAGAAGCATCCGCACGTGACTCTGTCCCCGGCAGTCCCTGGGTCAGCCCCTTCCTCTCTCCTCCCTCCTTAGCCAAGGGGAGGCTCCCCGACATTCTCAGGACAAACAGAACTCCCAGGCTCCTGGCCTCAAAGCTGGCACCAGCCCTGGGCCATCCGGTCACCTTACGGATGTGCTTGGTACCTGTCCACCCCCGGGACACCACCACAAGGGGCAGCCAGAGTCAGGCCGAAACTTGACCCTGGGTCAGGAAGGAGGTGGACCCACGGTGGACTCGGGAAACTGAAAACCTGGGGTCAGGCAGCCGGGACTCAGTCCTTCGTGAGGTCCGCTCCCCACTGGGTCAGGGAGGCCTGGCAGACTGCAGGGACGTGAGGATGCGGCTCGCGAGGCCGGGTCACCACGCACGTGGCAGCTTCTGCCCGGCTGTCTCTCGGGTCACTTGCTTGGAATAACAGCAGCTGCTAGGTCAGGAGGACGCCTGGTGGAGCGTCCACTCCCTGTGGAGCAGGACGTGAGCCTCCTGCCTGCCGCTCACAGCCCTCGAGTGTGCTCCCTGAAGGGACCGTCCTGCAGAGGACAGACCTGGTCCTGGCACCGGGACCTCGGCCCGGTCACTCTGATCCCCAAACCTGCCCGAACTGCACACAGTCAGCGCTCCTGGCTGTCCCGGCGTGAGGGTCTGAGGGCTACTTCTTCATGCAGCAGCAGGTGGGCATTCCGAGGCCACTGAGGGTCCCCCCACGGTGCCAGAGGCTGCCTCCGATGTGGCTACTCAGGGGGACACCTCTGCTCCCGAATCCACATTTCCAGCTGACCTTGACTCTGCTGTCCACCTGGCTGTCAAGTGGACGTCCACACCAGGGTGAGCTGCTCACCAGTAAGACCAGCCACGCGCCTGCCCGGCTTTCCTCCTGTCTTCATGGCGGGGAAACGGCACCCTCTGCCTCCCCTGACGAGGCCCAGCCTCCTTTAGGTCCCACTCGGGTGCATCTCGGCTGCTCCGACTCTGAACTCGCCTTCCTAGGGACTCACAGACCAGCTGGACTGTCCTGAGGGCCAGCCTTGACCTTTCCCACCTCGTACTATGACTTCATGATGGGCCTCAGCCCCCTCTGTGCTGGGGAAGGGCCCAGAGCCTTGGGCACACTGGGCAGGGGCTCTGTCCCCGAGCTGCTCCCCCAGCCCCCACCTCTGTTCCTGGTCTGAATGCACAACGTCATTTAGAGTGGAGCCCCGCGCCCCTCTGTGCTTGCCCTCTACCCGCCCCATGGTGGCCTGTGCCCAGGTACAGGGCAAACCTTAACGAACGGGTCGGGATACAATTCAGGCTCAGACACCCAGCTCGCGGCCTGACTGTCGGCCTTCTCTATCTCTTTTTGGCTCTTTTTCACCTAATTACACTTGGAAGCTAGAAACCAATTAGCGTCCACCATTAATCCGGGTGGTCAGCCATCT